TATATAAAGAGAGAGAGAATCGCATATATAGTGACCCAAATCCTCAATGTTCTCTCTATTTGCCCGTTTTGACACCTTGTTGTTAGTCTGATGGAGACTATCGCCCACCATTGTGAGGAGGTCAGTAACCTATAGCTGTCCCTGTTTGTGTCAGGCGACCCTCACATTCATGTAGATAGTCATACCTGTCTCTGGCTCTGTTGTTGGTCTGGAGGGGATTATTGCCCACCATGTGAGGAGGTCAGTGACCTATGGTTGTCCCTGTTTGTAGCTGACGACCCTCACATTCATGTAGATAGTCATACCCTCTGTCAGTCTGTGTGTCTTCTCTTTGTGTCTGTCTCTCTTTGTCCGCCTGTCTGTCTCTTTCTCTCTCTCTCAATGACCTATAGTTGTCCCTGTTTGTGTCAAACGACCCTCACATTCATACTTAATAGGAGTCATCTGGCTAATTACTCTCTACAGCTGGAAGTGTGCATTAACATTCTTCAGCGCCCTTAAGTACCCTTCTGCGTAATTACAACACATTAGGTTCTGTATTTGTATCGTCCAACAAACATCTGTCTTCACAGACTGTACGTAAGCAACCTAAAACATTTGAGTTGCTCTCATGAGCCTTGTTTTGTGGTGAACATGAAGTAAATAAAAAAAAAGAAAGAAACGAACCTCTGTATCTGTACATATCACCGGTGCATGGTGTAACCAGTGTAACCACACACACACACACACGTAAAGTTGTGTGTCACACATAACCGAATATGGCTGGTGTTGCGGACAGTTACTGTACTTTCGGCTGTGCCAGCCAAATGTTTCGAAATGTTTTAAACATTCGGGGGAGGTTCGGTCATGATTGGCTGGTGTTCGGGAGTACTGTATGTCAACAATGTTTCAGGGGTCAAATTTGGCTCAAACATAACTCAAATTCGCTTCGTATAGAAAGCTAGACGTGGTCTAAACCTGGCAAACTGCTTCCAAACTTCAGCCAACCTTGGTTGGTTGATTGGTATTACGGGGAAAGTTCTGAATGTGTGGCAGATGCTTTATAATGCATAGCACACCAGCTTCGCGGGCATTTGGCTGAACAACCTGTCACACCTAACCCTTGTACACATAGCTTCAAGCGTTGGATGTCCCAACTTTACTTGCACTGGAATCATTTCTGATTCAAACGTGCCTCCATCTTCGCGAACTCTCACAGAACTTTACAGAGCAGATTATTGCCTTTGCAAGAGCATTATTTACAAACTACAGGGGGGGGGGTGTACTTAAATCGGTAGTACACTTCTAGGGCCAAAGAGCTTCTTCAGTTCGTTCACCGTTCAACGTAGCTTCAGGCGAGGCACAAACGTATAATTACGTGGTCTACATTTACGGACTAATAGAAGGTTTGTTGTTACAAATCTCTCAAGGTTTTCAGTCTGTAGGGTTGTACCCACACAGTTAGCTTGAAAAATCTAACATCTATAAAGAGAGGAAAGTTGAATGTGTAAAGTGGCTTTCCCAAGGCCACAGGATCGGTGACATGGGTAGGATTCGAACCCGGGACCTCTGGTCCTGAGCCGAACACGATACCATTTACGCCACAAGACCCCACTGTATTCTTCACCAGACTTCTTTTACAGGCTGAATAAATCGTAGAAATTGGCATTAAAATGGTACTTAATTATCAAGAGAAGGTAGCCGGCCATCGAGGGTCCAATCTTACCAATTCAATCCCCTTTTTATGACGATTTCTACGATTTATTCAGTCCGCAAAAGAGTCTGGTGGAGACTAACCCACCAGACTAACACCAAATATAGGGCCAAATATAGCCAAACAGAGAGAACATTGGAGATTTCGGCCACTTTGGTTCAAACAAACAAGAATGGCCCATTTTGTGGACGTGAGGGACATTTGAGATCACGCAAAGGACCTAGATATGCTAATGACGCCATTGTTCTGTAGCGCTCACCTGTGAATTTCGTAGAAAGAGATTAACCCCGAATAAGGTCGAGGGTCCTACAGAGATTTTTAATTAATAACCGCTACTGTGTTGTGTCAGCCCAAGGACATTTTGGTCAGTCAGTTTGAATGTTTGAAACATTTTGAAACATTCAGCGTAGCCTATCAGTACCTGACCACAAGAAAAATATATATTTCGAACCCTGCCTATTTTTAGTCTGATGGAGACTATTACCCACTACTATTGTCAGCAGGTCAGTGACCTATAGCTGTCCCTGTCCCTATAGCTAGCTGCCAGTTCTGCAGGTATTTCCGCTGAATAGCCTGCCACTCCTAACCTTTGTACATATAGCTGCGAGCGCTGAATGCATCAATGATCTGGAACCATTTGTTATGGAAACATACTTATATATATGGGTGTTTATTGACTTCTGATTGAAACACTAGAATACATGGCAGCGTTATCTGCTATTCTGCATAGACGCTGAATGACGTATTTTAGGCATCGTTACAGTATTATTAGACATAACAACTAATACAAACATGTATATAATTGCGCATTTTAGGCACCATCAATGTATTGGTGCCAGGAGATTTTAACGGCCGTATTTTAATTATTTATTTGGACCGGATTGACCCTTGCCAGCGCCCGAGCGCTGGCTCACGACAGGGAGGGATGGAGGAAGGCAGTGTGCTCAGCCACTAGGTGCCCCCACGACCACCCCCGGTCAAGGGACCGGTAAGACGGCAAGATTTATTCATTTAAAAGGTGAGAAATGTAAGGAATGGGATTTGCACCAACCGTAACACTTATTGGACTTACATTACTTATCATTGTCTATCATTGCACAACTCTTAGTTAATGTACTTTTGCTCTTGCACCCAAGGTTCTAGCAAGTCCTAAACGTATATCGAAGTGGTCGATGTTTAGGGTCTCGAAATGTCGGCCAAGGTTTCATTGTTGTTGTTTTTTACCTCAATTTTTCCAGCCTGAAGGTTTTTTTTATCCATGGAAACAGTGTTTTGTTTTTTTATTCAAGTGTGTTGTAGGCAACAGTACTAACAGTGAAAACAATTGTCCAAGTGAAATTCCGTTTATTTGTACAACTTAAATTACAGTGTATATATTTGTACAGTGTATACATTTTGTACAGATAATTTCAAACAGTTTCCACAATCTCTCCATCCTTTCAACATTTAGAAGATCACCAAAAGACTGCGTTTCTACTAAGATCACAAAAGCCACTTCGATAGTTAGAACATGGGACTATTCATTATCCACTGCCTGCAAAGAAAAAGTCAAACCTCATAATAGCAAGCGTAG